TCATTGTTGGCCTTTAGATCCCTCTGTAACTCTTTTGCCATGCTGCCTGCAAGAAACCTGATGGTGACTAGACAGCAGAATATTGTGACCGCTGCTTTCGTGCTGAGCATTGACTTCATGGCACCACCTGTTCACCCAGTTTTAAGCTCTGAGAGGGCGAGCTGCCATCTTCTAATGTGTCCATCTAGGGTCTTGCGTGGTGAAACTCTATGCCCAAGGGACCTAGGGGCACTGCTGCAGTGCAAACAATGCTATATTTTCTCACGTATAACCCACCCCCTTCCCCCCAGACCTAGCCGTGGAAAATTGGGGTGCACATTATGTGCAAGGAAAAAGGCTTCCCACAGGTTGGCAGATTTGTCAGGGAGGGGACTGGGGGTAGAGCAGTGGCAGCAGTAAGTACAATGACTGGTCATGTGGTTGGCAAAATGTAGCTCCTCTGCCCTGCACGATGTTTGCTCTCTAGTGCTAGAGTACTGCACCGGTCCTAGCATTAGTGTGGTGCTAGCATAGCCTGGCAATGATATAATTGAAAACCTCCATGTACATTTAGTTCTGGAAAAATAAAACTGTTCCCACCCATCCTGTCCTGCCCACTTTTCTTTCTCTTTTTTCCCCCTGGGGAGAAAGAGTAGAGGGCAGCAGGATGCTGAAAACCAGTAGGCCATTTCTTGTAAAAAAACCCAAAAAAACACAAACCCCAAAATAAAACAAACAAAAAACCAAAAAACACTTCAGCGAGAGATGCAGCAGAGTCTAGGTCTGTTATGTTACTGCCGTTCTGTCGATGCTGTGGTTTCCTACCTGCTCCATACCATTCCTGGAGCAACTCCGGTGGCCTTGCTGAAACATGTTGCCAACACAAATACTAATAGATTTAATTGCAGCTATTCATTTTTAGTTTTCATGTTAATCCCTGTAGAAGGTTTTAGTGTCTATAAGTCCTGACTTGCACCACCAGGAAAGCATTTGTGTTTGCCTGAGTTGTGCTATTTTAATATCTGATATTGAACATTTTCTCAATGGATGCTGAGGACTCTCTGTCACTTCAGAATTTAAATCAAGACCAGTTATCTTTCTAAAAGATGTCTCGGCTGATCCAAGACATTATGGGTTTTATTAAAGAACCTCTTAGTGAAATTCTGTGTTTTATCTTATACATGATGTCATCGTGTCCCTTCCAGCCATAAAGTTCATTAAGCGGTCTGCCCCTGAGCTGCTCTCCCGGAGTTATCAACAGAGGACATATGTCTCTTCATATGACATAACCAGGGAGCAAACTCTCAGCATGACAACACTAAACACTTTTGTGTTGGACTGGAATTCTTTTGTCACACTTGTGCGGGCCGGGAGCGACCCGGGCCCTTTTCCGTGCTGCACGCGGGCTGTGGCCAGCAGCCCGGGCACGCTGGATCGGAGAGGGAGGGCGACGAGCTGGAATTAGGCACAGATGCTTAACGGTAGATTTAAACATTGTTTACTTACACCAGAGATGGTCGTGGTGTAGGCTGGAAAACTTGCTTGAGTTGCGGTTACAGACACAGACAACACGGACGGTCGCGTGGAGGTTGCTAGGCTTCACGGAACAGAGCTCCGGATGCCCTGGGTGAGCGCGCCACCAAAATCGGACTCGTAGATACGTCTTATAAATTCTTTCCGCTCGAAGACGGGAAGAGGTGGGCGATGGATCAGGCCGCCAAGCTCCTCTGGATCTCACACAGGGTCTCTATTACCCTGCCGTGTATCCGGAGTCTCCACGAGATGGACGTGGAGTCCTCTTCGGCTTGGGCGGAAACTGCTCAAGCCTCTTATACGGCTAACAGCCCAATCGCTAGCCGCCCCGGGGGGAAAAACAATAGGAAACTCTCCCGTGCAATGAAGTTGCAACCTGGCGGGGATAACTCTGGTGCCGAAGCACACACAAAATCATGCCTTTGGGTCATGACAACACTGATACACTGACTTGCTGTTATTTTGTACTGGTCACGTCGAGAGGCCAGGCCCTGTAGAGCTTTCTCTTGTGGGTTCATCTTGGTGCATAAAAACAAAGCACTAAAAGTAGCGAGCTAACTTGATGGTCTTGGGAACCGCCTATATCGGGGGTTCCCAAACTTTTATGCTGTGGCGCAGAAGTGGCCGCAGCCCAGCAGTCACAGCCGACTGCGGCTGGAAGGCAGGTAAGGATACCCCCACCCCCTGGGCCGGGAGTGGGCCAAACCCTGCGGAAGGAGCCGCGGCCCCTCTGCCCGGTTCTGGGGGGCCGCAGTTTGCCGGTTCGTGGCCACTTCTGGTCTGGCAGCCAGCCCGCTGCGGGCCAGGTATTGAGAACCTCTGGCCTATATAATACAGTCCTCTGGGCCCATTGTAGATAAATCAGACTGAGAAGAGTTCATTGAAGTTGAAATAGGCAAGAGAAGAGTGGGCTTTTAAAAGGGTAAATTGTAAAACCAGCCATGAGAGGCCTGGAGAGGAGCATCTTTCCTGATGGTGTGCAGATGCACACACAAATAGAGCCCTGCTTTGAAACTGTAAATGCTAACTGAAAGGTTTTTATTTCAGTTTGAAGATGCTGACCTATAACCTGAGTTAAAAAAAAGTTTGAAGAAACAGTGCTGAAAAGTGAGCTGTGTAGGAATGGCTAGAAACCTGTTGTTAACACATGCATGCTCAGAAGCAGCACAGGGCAGGGCAGGCACAGCGCAAATTCAGTTCCTTGCAGGAGGAGAGGCCGGGTGTAGTACGCACGGAAGGCTTACGAATCCAGTGAGGTTGCTAGACCAGCTCCTTTTGGAAAATGGGCTCTGGACTGAAACCTTGAGCATGGCATTGTGCCTGAATAGGCAGTGTGTTCTCAGTAGCATGTCCACGAACAGATTTTACTGAATGAGCCCTTTGCAAGGCTTTAGTATGGGCCAGCTATAAAGAATCCAGGTTTATTTAACATTACAAAAGAGCCTGTATCTGAAACTTGGGAAATGCCCAGCTGATCAGTAGCATGATGACTGCTCACCCAGGCTCATCATGGCCAACAAAATGATTGCCAGCAGTTGCATGAACACATCGCTGCCATTAAATTGCTATCCTGTCTCACACGAGGCTGAAGATTCAGGGGTGTATGAACTGAAGCACAGCTGTTTTCAGAGAACATTTGTTTTTGCTGAGCCTCAGTGAGCAAAAGGGCGTTTCTTCCTCTTTTGGCAGAGTAATAGCTGTAGGTGTTAGTTTAGCTGCTCTCGGGTCAGACTTATTGTTTTGTGGAGCATGAAGGCAGTCGGCTGTTCACAGAACTTAACTGCAATTTGTATTTTATGCTGTAAGTCCGTTGGGGACTTGTATTTTCAAAGTCTCACTGTTTAAGCTGATTTTAAAGGACTTAAAAGACTCCTTTTTTTGTTGTGTTTGCGTTTTGAAGACTTACTTTTACACCACATCAGCTGTACATATCATTCGGTTTGGGGGTTTGGTCCAGAACTTTTTAAGTAGCTTCTTCCAAAGGCACGGTCCGGCTGACAGGAAGCAGGTTAGTGGTCACTAGCGTGTGCGTGGAGTTGTCTCCAGTGCCCGCACGGCTTCTGAGCTCTTCTTTGTAAGGCAGGGCAGGCTTCTCCAACTCATCCTCCGTGCCTCAGGAGCCAAGTTAGCCTATGACTCCTCTTGTGCAAGTGGTTCCTATTGTGGAGATAAGTAGCCTGTTTTGATGGCTTCGGTAGACTTTTTTGATGGAAACGGTGGTAACGTCTTTATTTTGTGATTTATTTTTTTTCTGGCTGTAGCTGTTGATGCTTCTGCCACCCATAGTCAAATGCTTTAGAAATCTGTATTGGTCCACTGGGATAATGAAATATAATGTTGTTTTAGACAGTAGCTTTTAGCTGCTTCCAGTGTGGCTAAAGAGCAGCAAACTTGAGCCACTGGCCAGTATTGGAGGCCTTTTGAGAACTGAATAGAAAATGATCCGGGGTATCTTACGGGTAAATTACTTTGGGTATTTTTTAATGGAAAATCAGGGTACTGAGAGAGGCTTTCATACATCTGTGACAGCACAGCTGATGGCTTTGGTGCAGTTGTTATGACAGCATTTGGTAAATAGAGGATCTGTCCAGGAGGTTGGTTTGCTGATCCCATTACAGTAGCCGAAGCTGTCATCTTCTCTGTGGCCTAAAAACCTACCATCCTTTTTTTCTTCTCCTTCTTCTAATATACATTCTGGTTAACTCAGTGGCTAGGTGAGGCTGGATGTGTGAATCCTTTACCCCTGGGTAAGTGGATGGCTGAAGCAGGGAGGGACCTGCTTCAGGCAGGGCGGTGGACTAGCTGACCTTCGGAGGTCCCTTCCAGCCCTGTTTTCTTTAGTTGCAAATGACACGTGGGAGGCAGGAAATACCAGAGCGCCACGAGCAATGTAGCCCGCTGCACCCAGGGACCAGCGGTCCTTATTCCGTGATGGGACTTCTAGCAGCTTGTCAAGACATTTCATTACATAAAGCCTCCACTCGCAGCGCTGTCTAACCCAGCTTCCCAGTGAGAATACACCTGGGTTTGGAACGCTAGTCCTGAAGTCCCACTCCTGTTTGTCACTTTGTTTTCCACTTGAGTGCTAACTGTGGCCTCCTACCCTGGACTGTGTCCGTTCCAAATAAAAGCATAGGGTTATTCTGTGAATAAAATCACGTGTCTGTCCAGGCTCAAGCACTCCCTGCGTGGGGCTACGTGCTTGTTTAAACCAAACCACATGCAGATATTTTTTTAATTAACTTTGAAGAAGAGGGAGGTCTCCAGCTACCGCTTCTCATTGACCTGCCTTTGTAACAATTTGTGTAGGCAATTCCACCCTCAGATCAGCAGATTCTTAAAATCCTGAAATGGAGCTGCTGTGCTTTCACATCAGATTGGTGGCATTGATATTTATTTGCATTCGTGCTGGAGCTCAGGGAGTTGAGAAAAGGCAGTATGAATGATTTTGTACAGACATGCCCCTAAGACTTTCTTTCCTCTTTCAGTTGGTCAGTATTGGTTCTTCCTATAACTACGGAAATGAAGATCAGGCTGAATTTCTGTGTGTTGTCTCGAAGGAGCTGCATAATACACCGTATGGCACAACGAGCGAGCCCAGTGAAAAAGCAAAGGTAAGTCTACTGAGCGCTGGGGGGAGGAAACAGAAGATGCAAAAGCAGCTAGATGGGGCCTGGTACTCCAAAAGAAAGTTTGGCAGACTTTGTTAAATACTTGTATCTCCCCCAAGACTGGTTACAGTTCTGTTTCCATTGTGCGAGGCTATAAACCATACGGGTTAAAATAAAGGAGTCGCCCCACCCAATAACCAACATGTCTCTCATGTTACAGAACAAGAAATGTAAATGGAATATTTGTACTAGCCCTGACTTGCATACTGCCCTGTCTGAGCCTCAGTGAATCTCTTCTGTCTTCAGCTGAGAATCTGAGATACCGTGCAGAAGAGCAATACTTCACCCTGGCAGGAATGTTCTTTCAAATGAGAGTGTGGATGTAGCGTATTGCACCTGAAGAACATGGGCACTTGCAAGAAGCTATAGAAGTATTTTCCCAAGTGAAGATACTTGCTTGCAGGGCAGTAGTTAGCCCACAGGCCTCGGGGTTCCACTCAGTCCTCATTCCTCTGCATAATCAGCTCCACAGAGAGGTGGTAGCAGGTAGCAGGTCTCCGATGCATGGGTAGTTGGCTTCCAGAGATAATAGTGGTGGATGACACAACTGGATTATAGTTAGCCCTGCCCAAACAAAAAATGAACATACCGTTCCTCCTCTCTGTGTGTGCTGAACAATTTACAAGGTGCTAGGAAGGCTGTAGGCTGGGAGATGGTTACACAAATACCGGCTAGGTAAGCTAGTCATCTTCTTCCAACAAAGTTTGCCATTCAGGTAAACATGTTTACAGTTCCAGCTGAGAACAACCAGTAAAATGCCAAGCTTTAATATTTGGCTTTCAGGAAATACACGGGAAGGAAAAAAACCCCACAAAACTGGTCTGGGACTTTCACTGTCAGTTGTGACCTGCTTACATTGTTCATTGTAAGCTCCTGTCTGCTGCATTTATTACCGTGTTCTCGTGTTTCTGTGGCTTGATATCTTTAGTCATGCATGGCAGAAGACTGTGCTTTGGTGTGCAGAAATGCAGTGTGGCAATGTAGGATTCAAGTGAGACTTCAGTACATAAAGCTTTCAGCATTTTAAAACTATTTTTGGTTAATTTAGTAAAACGAGTGACTTCTGTTTAAATGCATCTCTGGCACAAGAGACACAAAAGAAGTTACAGAGAGTTAACATAGCCACAAAAAAATAGTGAACGTGATTAAATTTTAAGACCCTATACATGGGTCATCCTCCCAAACAGATCTGCATGGCCAGAGCCACCTTTTTCCATTAAAGAAAATGAAACCCTCTGGATGGGGGGCGGTGTGATACTTAGGCAGCACACACACAGAATGATGTAAAACGCGTTGTGCATTCTGTCCCTCGCTTTCCATCCGTTACCTTAGTTTGAGCTTTTCAGTACGGGAACTTAAATGTTGGTGTGTGCCACCATGAAAAAAATAGTGAAGTGGAACTTCTGAACACAGTGCAGATCTCTGCATGGCTTTTCAGTGATGCTTCTGCAGCAGCATGCTTCTGTAGGGCCCAGGACTTGACTGGACTCGATAGAAAATATCTAAAAGATTGAAGCAGACCACCATTGGCTTCACCAGAGAGAGAGTCTAGAATTGGTACAGTGCAGCTCTTGCACTCAGACATTTGAGAGATGCCAAAATTTGCGCCCTGTTTTGAAATGAACAAGTTAGTAGATGGGCCCTGGGGAATGCTGTAGCTTCTTTAATGCTGAGGAATCTTGATTCACAGGGGAGCCCTGCACTGTGTGAAGTGAGCAGAATGGGAAGTAGTATGAGATCAGAATCAGGCAGGTTAAGAACCAAGAACAAGCATAGACCTGATCTGTGGCCACAAATGCACATGAAGCCTTCTGCACTGAGCGCACATGCGTCTCGTTAGACAGTTGAAAGATCTCTGTGGTTCCAAGCAAAGTCATTTCAGAAAGCAGGTGGGTGAAAGCATGCCGAGATACAAGCAGAGCTCCGTTCTTACGTACTGACTAACGCACATCAAGCTGGAGTTTGTCAGGATAGGAGAGCAGGCAGATTGCCAAAATGCAGCAGTAAGTTTGAAGATGTAATGAACCAGAATCCATGTGTGGCCTGTGCAGATGCAAAGAGGGGATATTTTTTCAAAGACGTGTTGTGAATAGAGGAATGGGGAGGGTTGTTCTTTTAATATTTCTTTTAAAGTACATTGTGCTGTTTTGGAGGGATGATGGATTTTGGTGAAGGGGTAGAGTTGCCTTGAACAAATAGAGTCTTGGGTTTGGAAGGTATTGGGCATTTCTGATCATTTTAAATCATAACTAGTCCTTGGGGCCTGTTATCTTGAGAGAGATTTTTCTCAGGTCCATAATTTGTTACATCAGTGGTGGCCAACCTTTTTGGCAGGTGCACAGCAAGTTATGCTCCCCCACCCTGGTGCTGCTCTGATCGCTGGCCCCAGAGGTGAGGTGTATCTGATAGTTTGTGCCCTGGGCTGGAGGAATGGAGGCTTGGGCTCGGCAGGATGGTGCTGCAAGACCACAGCATTCCCTGAACCAAATGCCTGGAGCTCATGTGCCACACCGAAGCTCCCTGTGTTACTGTGGCATGTGTGTTACAGGGTGGCCATCTCTGCACTAAATAGTGCCTGGCTTGACCTTCAACATGTTGTCACTACATTAAAACACGAACGCGTTGTCTGTCTGTGCCAGCAGTTGTTAGGTGACTGACAGGAGCTCTTGTGTCAGGGCTTTGAAAACTGCTTATGTCAGTGCAGCCATGAAAGAGGCACCAGTATCTTGAATAATAGTGTTAATTCACAATGCAAAAAATCATATCCTAGGAGCAACACCAGCTAATTTAACTTCTCTAGCTGTTTTCCTTCCTGGAGGTTTTTTATCTAGTGTTTTCTTCACGCTCGGCATGGGTTGTCTAGTTTGGGTAGAACAGGAAATAATAGCTTCCAGAGATATGAAAAAGGTTCCCCAGTGACATGTATTGTAAAGTGTTAACTTTTTTCTAAAGTGACGCGTTGCTAAATACTGATCAGTACCCTGGGACCTCCAAGACACAGAAGTGTCGTAAGGGAAGATTTGCTGACACGTAAACTGTCGTGGTTAAATACCACACAGCATGCTTCATTATGAGATGTTGGACAGTGCTAGCGTATATAAAACCTACAAAATCTTGTAATCTGAGATAGCTTTCACTAAGCAACCCTGGCATGTTAGAGCAGCCATCTCTTGCCTGCCCCCACCCCTCTGCCCACCAGCCGGCAGAACATGCCACCAGTGGGACTTTGGACACGGGAATTCGGTAGCAGGCCCTGCCCTTGCTCACCCTGCTATCAAATTCCCGGCACCAGCAGGACTGCCCCCCAGCCAAGTGAAATGGCCCCATGGGTTGGATCTGGCCTGTGGGCTGTCTCTTGGACACCCCTGGCCTAGGTCAGAGAAGCTAAGTAAGGAAAACAGCCTCCAAGGGCTCTGGCCATGGGTATTTGCATTTTTTTAAATATGGTTTATATATGTTTTGCCATTTGGCTTTTGAGTTAGATTTCTGTCTAAGCTCAGTTTTACTGATTTCTGCCGGTTATAACTAGTTGAATAAATTCCTCAGCATTCGAGTGAAATGTAATAACGTGCAAATTTGGAAGAACAGCTGGCCGTCATGAGGAAAGCAGCCTCCCTACCAGCTTCTGGGTGTGTTGAGGAAGAGGTAGACAAGGTTAATCTGATATCTTTTATTAGACCAACTTAAATAGTTGGAAAAAACCAAATTAATCAAGCTTTTGGGTTCAAAACCCCCTCGTCAGGCTGAGGAAGTCCCTGCGGTTGGTGTGTGCTCTTCCTGGATGGAACGCAACGTAAAGCAGCCAGAGGCTGGGCTGGGCTGCATGCAAGACAGGCAGTCAGTGAAGATGTAGATTGAGGAGTCAATGGGTGAGAGACAGGCTGGGCAGAGGGGAGAGAAGGGGGATGAAGAGGTGCCACTTAACCACTGTGTCATAGCTTGGATGCCCCTGCAACTTTTAACGTAGCTTAGGGAAGTGAAGTAACCTTGGAGGTGATGGCTTCACTGTTCCAGTGGCATTAATGATAGCCAAGGTACAAAGGCAGCTTGTTTCAAAGAATTCTCCATTCCCAAATCCCATTCTCTTCCACACCCACTTTCTTGACCTGCCTCTGGAGAGGATGTCTAGATCCTGTTCCTGATGTTGGCCTCCAGAGCTAGGTTTCCGGGTGCTAAGAGCGCGCGCGCACATGAAGCTGCGACGACAGAGCTCTCAGATTTCTGGTACCAGCTGTAGTGCTCTTGAAAAAACTGTCTCAACACGTACTGTGCCTTTTCATTGTGTTGGATGACTGCTGTACTGAGTGGCACCATTAAGAGCTGCCCACTGATAGATGTATAGGAGAGATAGCAAAACGGGTTTTCCTGCTGCTTATCTTTGTTTCTGCTTGAGATTGTCTGACTGACGTGTGGATGATGGGGTCAACTTAAAAAAAGCCTCAAGTACTTCAAACAAGTACTTCAAGTATAAGTGGATTGTACTTTGCCTTGGCTCTGACTCACTTGTAATTTTTCTTTTCCCTTCCTTTCTTTACACTTGCTGCATGCTGCATGCCGCTCAGAGCGAGGATGAAGAGACGGATTACGATATGAATGACTCAGATTAAGTGTAAATGTGATGGTGAGCACTAGCTGCTTTAGGACTTTACCCACATGCTTTCCACTGTCCCATCCAACCCCCACGCCCCACCAGTATCATCCTTTGGCTAGCCCTGGTGTACTTGTCCTGTGGTCATAGCTGCCTTTTTACCTAGTATCAGGTGAAAAATAGTAATAGATCTAGAGTAGCATCTGTTGCATAGATGGTGATAACATAAGAAGACCCCTTCTGGCTGCCGTGCTTTCTGTGATGAATAACACTTCTATTACCGGTTGCACTGATGGGTTCTGGTTTTTTCTCAAAGCTATTCTGGGACACGGAAAGTGTCTTATTTCCACTCTGG